TAGCACCTTGCTATGGTCTCATTCTCTGTCTTTCCCGTGGCAGTACACATGGGCATACAATTTCTGTCCCTCCCTGTCAAATGCCCATGCAGCAGCACTGCAGATCACTGCAGTGACCATATTCCCAGGTGTATATGGGTACATTTCAACAACAGATGAATAATATTTCATGTACCCAACCCAAAAAACACTTTGGGAACTTTGGGAGTGCCCTAGTTCCAATCAGGACCAGGTTAATTTTTTGCAGTAGACAAGAGGGGTGTGGCCAGAACCCTAAAGTTACTTGATACATCCTCATGCCACTGCCAGCAGCAGGAGAAAGGAACTGTCTGTTCCAGGGAGAAGGGGTTCCTTCCAATTGAGTTAAAGTGGTGGACAGAACAGTCAGGTATTGTTTATTGTCAGTGGCTTTTCACGTAAATTGTTTCTTTGTCTTACACATTTCATTATTAATATTGTTGCTGTTATTGTTTGTTTTCTTATCTCATAGCTGTTTCCAGTAAATTGTTCTTATCTTAAGCCGTGATCTTTTGATAACATCTGAGACTGCTCAGCTTCAACCATTTCTACTCCTCTGCAACAGTTTCAGCAACTGTTAGATGTGAAGGTAAGTCAAGAGACAAGGAGAGACACTCATTTCCATGGCTAGTCACATGCCTTACACAGCCCATCACCCCCCAAGCAATGACAGCCTGGACACAGCACCTGGGCAGCCACACTACACAAGCACACCATCAACATGGGAAAGACCCTGCTTGGGACCACACCACCCTCATCTCAGGGGGGTGCAAACTTTGTCCTAATCCCCAACCAAACAACCTCACACCAGAGACAGGAGCAATGACTAGAGAACCTGCCCAACAGGAACCTGCCAGAAAGGAGCAGGAACTGGGATATTTCTGAAATGAAAGAGTGAAAGATGGGGAGGAAGGGAGTGTCTCCCACCAAGGAACATTACCTCCAACATGAGTTAAGGCTTGGGTAGAGTATGGAGTACACAAACATATCACGCGGGAGAATAAGAAGCCTTAGGGAAAAGGTCAATAAGTTGATTTAAAAATGCCAGTGTGTAAGGATAGGCTGGAAGCTGATGAGCAATAGGCTGTGAAAAGTGACATCTTGTTGTACAAAGGAGAAGTAATACAGTGGTGCTGAGCAGGTAGACCTAGGCTGTGGCCTACCGGGATGTGCAATATGAGGAGGTATTTTGGGACTAGAAAGAGGTAAAAGTGCGTGTTGGCATAGAGAAGAGTACACAATGAAGCAAGGAGATGTCCCAGTATCTAAACTGTGACAGCACTGTGCAGCAGCAGAGAAGTGAGACCCATAATAGGGATTGCACTGGCCAGTAGTGGAGCCAGGCAACAAAGGCACAAAGGATGTTTGGAAGACTGGGGTTGTAAAAGCTGACAAGTCCTTCTGCAACCATTCCATCCTATGACAAGGGATGCTGTGATATGCCCTTAATCAGAACAGAGTGGCATCACCTCCCCAGTATTCCTGTATCCCACAGCCACATGATAGTCGTTTCCCACAAACCTACCAGAGGCAGGAAATGTCCCTAATCCTAATGTTGTCAAAATTTCTTCTACCTTTTCTAGTTTCTAAGCACAAAGATTTTGTGCTTTTAAGGTGCACGCACTCTGAAAGTTTTATTTTCCAGCACTCCTCATCGGTCTTTCTCCATAAATGTGTAGTGTCCACATCTCACCAGACGTTGCCTGGCTCTGCTCTGCATGCACTTCGTTGAGTTAGAGCACTTAGCTGAACCAGCTGTCTCTCCCTCTGTCATTAATAGTTCTGCAGAGAAAGAACATATTCAGCTTGCTTTCATTTTCCACGCTTGACACCTTTTCACTTTCAGAATCTTGTTCAAGCAAGGAAGATAAAAATAGAGGTAGGAGAGACTCTTTCATTCATATCTTAACACCCATTCTTATCAACACAGCTTTTCCCAACTGCTCCAAGGAATACACCCAGAGCAAGCCCAAACTGCACTACCTCCACTGTCTCCCCAAAAGATTCTTGCTCTGTGATCTCACTGGTGATTATTTCCAGGAGTTATTGTAAAGATTTCTTTGCACAGCCTCTCCCACTGCTACTACTTTTGCTACCCTGTGAATCCCACCCCACCCACCTCAACTTCTTGCATGTAACACTCCAGAGAATTATCACCTCCCACCATCACTCATCCAAACCACTGTGGCTGAGATTAAAAAGCCAGAATTTGCTCACTACTGATTATTTTTATCCCAGTCATTCCTGATAGGTACACAAACTGGCCCTGGACTTAAAAGAGGGTTGGACAGGACAACTCACTAGTCAACATATATGATTCTCCTTCTGTGTCAAATCAACACATGCCATTCACCTTTACATCAGAGCTACCTCCTGCAGCTCCCAGTCCCCCAGTATGACACTGGCCTAAAATGGGAGACTCCCCATCAGCAGGGTATCAAGTAGGTTTGTGTGGGGACAACAAAATCATGGTGAACTGCCATAAATCCAACTCACAAATGCTCTATCCTTGCTCAGACATCCATCCCATTGGCATGGTCTACATTTAAGCCAGTTTTCTCACAAAACATTTGTGAAACATCCATGCCTGTGATAAGATTCACAGGAGTAGGTCACATCAGAAGGCAGACTATTTCTAATTGACTGAAAACATAATGCTTCTGTACATGAAATTGGCTTTTTTTGATCTTCCTGCCCTTTTGCAAGCTCTTGCCTAATTTGTTAGCTTGTCACATTCCTCCCTAGGTATCTCTGTATTTCCAGTTGCTCCTTCTCCCATTTGTTCTGCACTGATCCAAGCTGTATGTAATTACTTCTTGCCTACACTTAAGATTCATCTGAAGAGCCCTGCTCTTGGGCCTGATGGGAGAACTGGAAGTCTTACCACTGAATTTGAGAGTAGGAGGATTAGGCCCAGGCACTCTGAGAAGTTTCCCTCATTGCCATTTTTTCTTCTATTTGAATTCATCTGCAAGTTCTCTGGTGTAAGGGTGGCCCCAGGAGGGAAAATTTCAGGAACCCTCTCTGCACTCTTCTCTGCCCTGATACTCTACCTTGCCACTCTGCCACCTATATTTCAGGTAAGTATATCATATTTAAAATATGCTGAGGATCTAGCTACACTGGAATTTAATTTGTTCCTGAAGCAACCCTATTAAACCCTCTAGGCTCCAGCAATGACACTTTTGGTGCATTAGGTTCCCAAATTCTTTCTGGTTTTAAATACCTTGATTTGGTACCTTGTAACTATTAATACAGGAATTTACATCAGCTTTTAGTACTGCCCAGTTTTACAAGGTCCTTTATTTTTATACATGTTATTCTCTTCTTTTGTCATTGCTCTCTTTCCCTTGTTACCATTTCCTCTCCATCACTTTCTTACCATTTCTACCTTTTTTACCCTCCCTCCCCTGTAACTTTAAAATTAAATATTGCCCAGCACTGCCCATGTGAAAGAAGTGAATGCTATGAGGTAAGGTTGCTGCGGAGACTGTATTCGAGCTGCTTCACTGGGAATCAATGAGGCACAGAGCGTTCCTCTAGCTCCCAAGAAGCACGAAGAAATCAGGGATTATCAGTGGCAGCTGAACACACACTTGAGCGAAAAGGTTCCACCTCCAAGCATCAATTTCAGCCTTTAAGAGACACCACACAAACTGTGCCAGAGGTGCCTAGTGTAGTAATTTAATGTGGGTTAACTTTGGGGTAGCTTTCCACAGCTCTTGTGGAAGGGACATTGCCACATGGAAGCCCATAGAGGCAGAGGCCTGCAGGGAGCAGCCAGCCTGCTCTGCTCCATCTATCCACTGAGCTATGAAACACAGCTGGTACCAGCCTTGCTACAAGGATGGAATGCTGATAGAGGCAGCATGCTGCAGACTGGAGGCTGACATTAACCCTGCCATTGAACTGTACGGAAATATTAATGGTCATTCCTGGCTAGACAATATGTAGACCCTTAAACTATACAGAGGCAGACTTGCTGCATTCACATTTGCCCATAATATACCCTCTAGGTGCAAATACTTCACTTATCTCATATTTCCTCCACACCTCCTTACCACACAGTCAGACAGGCCAGAACAACCAAAACAGCCCCAGAAATATCTATATATGAGAAACAACAGATGTACACACCACTTCCCTTCTTCAACCTTCTGTCTTCCTCCCCCTCCACACACACTTTCCCTAGCATCACCTTTGTGCACTGTTGCCTCCTGCCTCCCTCTTTACCATGTCAGTTGTGATCCTTGAAGTGCCTCTCCTTAACCTGGGCTACTGCGTGAGGGGACATCTTGTAAAGAGCGAGACGCAAAGTAGCAGAATGCCCTCTGTAATTTACCTTGGTTACTTCCCTTATATCTAATGAACACAGTCACTTACCTACTGATCTCAGTGCTGTGGGCTGCTGAGGGTTAATGACGGCACTGACTCCTGAGCTACTGCGTTACCTGACTGCAGCACCAAAAGTGATTTATGCCATTATTTTCTTTGGGGGTTAATTAGGGGCTGGAGAAAGTAAAGGGCTGTCAGTGCTAGCTGGAATTGGTCTAGTGCAGCCAGGGGAGAGCAGTCATCCCTCACAGAGCTCTGCCAATACATCTTTGTCCTGAACATCAATACCTTCAGCTCCCACTCCTCAGCGTGGCAGACAGTGCTCCATCCTGACCTCCAGCAACCCTGTTCATCTTGGCATACAGAGTACACTGCTCTGTTGAGTCCTGCCATTTCCATCTGGCTCCTTTCACACCCTTACTCTTCTGTTATCTTCTCCTCATCAAAGCCTGCCAATAATGCCCATTGATGGACAGGGAAAACTTGCATGGCCTTCACCCAGAAGCAAGGAAAAAGTATCTCCCCCTTGGTATCTCTTTCAGCTGAGAAACAGCAGCTTTCCTTCCTCTAGCTGTTGTTTTCCTTCCTCTAGCTGTCAAGGGCTTGCTGAGGCCTGAGAAACCAACACAGGCTATGGCCACTCCTACCTCTTTGCCGAGATCCTCACGGATAACTTGCTCAATCTCCTGCCTGGTGCTCTGCGGGGCCTGGCTGTGCAGCACCTTGAGGGTGCGGGTGTACTCCTCAGGCAGGAGGTAGTCCAGCGCCCCCAGGTGCTGTCCCACCTTGATGAAGGTGCCTCGGTTGGAGCAGCACAGCTCCCGGAGGCGCTCAGCAGAGCGCAGGTGCACCTGTGAAGAGAGCAGAACAGCGGTCAAGCCCTTTTGCTGTCTGTTACATGCACATGTGCACATACGCATCTTTTTTTGGCCAGTATTTAAGCAGACCAAGGATTTCCTTTCTTGATTCTGGGCATCATCATCTAACATGTCAGTTTATTATTAGGACTCTGGCTGGATTTAAAGGGTCTGAACCAGACCAGGACAAGATGCTCCAGAATATAAAGCGTTTCAACACTTGTTTGTATAGGCACCATGATCAGTAACAGCACATTAGTTTTTGGCCCATCCTTGCACAGAATAAAATGTCTGGCTAGCATTGGTTTGTCACTGTGATTCTGCACTGTGATGCACAGCTTGGAAACTCCTTGTCAAAAGACAAAAATCATAACCACAACCATTATGTTATATTCTTAACATGAGTGCAGTGAATTAAAATGAGAAGAAAACCACTGATACCATCCCAGAGACTTCCAGGAACTCAGAAGAAGAGTTTGTTAAAAATCAAAATTACAGATCTCTCCTTGGTAGTGAGGAGGACAGTATATGGGCAGTCCTTCATCTTCCTCACCTCGCTTTTACACGCACAAGGGGAAATTACATCCCTCCAGTCCAGTCAGGTCTTGGGTCTTACTGTTTACATTGCCAACAAAGTCTGCAATGACAGTTGTTTCAGCAACTAAGTGTTAGAAAACTTGCCAGCTGTGCTCACAGCGGCCAAAATGCAACTACCAAATGACAAAACCCATTGCCAACCACTTGCCCAGTCTGTATTTCATCTCTTTCGGTTCATTTTGCTCCTCAAGAATATACCAGCCACTATATCCTTCAGTGACAATGATTTATTCTCCCTTTATTACTGTCACTAGAAAAGCCTCCTGCCAAGGACACAGCTATGTTGAATCATATCTAATGAACTTCATATAAGTTTACCCTGATACATTAATAAAACCTACGCAGATCAATAACAAAAAATAACTGTACACCCATCTCCTGTTAATGCCTGACACCAATCTGCATGAAGTCTCCTCATTCCTCTGGCTTTGGTGTGACATCACTGTCATCACTGAAGGTCAAATCCTGTGTCTACAGCCCTCATCGGCACAAGATCCTGTGGTGATGGACTCCAGCAAATGCCCTGAAATACGTGACAAAAAGGAACAATTCCACAAACATTCATGAACACCATATACACCCACACCGTTCAGTAGCTATCTTTGCTCTCTGTGCAAAGCAGTGCCATGTCACATCATGGGACAGGCTGAGTGTCTCACATTTGGGAATGTGTCAGGGGCAGACTGAGTGCTGAGCTGCAAGTGCATGAAACATAGGCCTAGGGGAGTGTGAGGAGAAAGCCTAATGTGCAAGTCTTGCCCTCAGTGTGAGACTCGACAGTTTGATGCACATGTGCTCACACACACGTACACACGCATTTTCCTAAGTGGGCACATACGGGCAAGTGTAACTCATGCTAGGTGGGTGAGCTTCCCCCAGCATACTGCCAGCTTAGAAACACTTGCACATGTATGTATAGGCTGCAAATAACACCCATGAGTATGTCTCGAGTCTCCCACATCATTCTGCATTTTACACAACAGCTTTGAAGCCCCTGCTGTAAAAAGCCTCTGCTCTGGCTCTTTCCCTGTTCTCCTTCCCTGTGTGCAGCAAGGACAAAAGCAGGCCAAAAGGGAACAAGGAAAGGAAGCTGTAACAGAAGATGAGAGAGCAAGAAAACCAGGGTGGGAGTAATGGGATAAAATAGAAAGAGAGAGAGGGAGCCAGTGCAGCCGGGTTGTTTGTCACAGCATCAGGAGTACAGCCCATCACAGAGAAACAGCTTTTTTGCAGCTCCAATAGTCATCCTCTACCCACTGCCTCCAGCTGTGGAGGAGTACTCCTGCCAGCAGCGAAGGAGAGTAGTGGCCAACCACACACCTCCAGGTGTTGGGCAGCCACAACCAAAGGCACTGGCAGGAAACAGGGACAAGGCTCTTTAGAGATATGTTCCAAGAAACCCAGCACTGAGCTCCCAGCATTGAGGTCAGGCCAGCACAGGGTCCTGCAACCTCCCAGACACAGCAGGAGCCCATCAAATGACTCCAGGCTGCAGCATGACTCAGGGCTGAGCAGCAGCAACCCGGGGCTGTAGCGCAGTGCTGGGTGTCAGGACAAGCAGCCAGCTCAGGGTAGCTGAGGTGCTGGCTCCAGTGCACTACCCACACCACACAGATACCCAAGGGAGATGGATAAAACAGGCTGGAAAACTCATGTAGCTAAAAATACAACTGCTTGTAGACACACTTGCATACAGGGTGTATCTTCATATCTGGGTCACTGCTGGGAAGGAGGTGGCAATAGCCCCTCTTTCCTCTAGCACAAGGTGAGAGGAAATTTTTGCCCTCACAAATTTATCCACACTGTTGAGAAGCTGGTTGGCCTCATGAATGCAGCCGTCCTGGACAAGATGATCCCTACAGAGGACTCCAGGAACAAAACACAACAAAACCCCCTGCAAAGTGTCCTCCACAATGCTCTCACAACTGGCTTGGCTTAAACTCCTTAGAGATAGATGCCCTGGCTGGCTGACTGGACCAGGAAATTCCAGCTCCTGTCCTTCTAGAGAGACAAGATTACCAAGCACCTTGTCTAAAAAGAAGTAAATCTGTATCCCTGTATCTTACAAAACTCCAGTCTGCATTACAGGCAGAAGTACTCTGAGTATGAAACAGGACTGTGAATACAGCTTCCAAGGACTCCTTTCTTATCAACCAGATCAGGTTTTTTAGCAGAAAACTTTCTTAATGATCTCTATTATTTTCTTGGATCTCCTCAAGACAGGTCACAGTCCAGATGCAGCACTTGTTCCTCTGACAGACTACACTCCCCTAATCATAGACAAAGTAAGACCATCACATTCTTACTATGGTGTCCAGTAGTGGTGGCCCATGTTGCTGTTCTACCTTGAAGAAAATGAAAGGTAAATGGAAATCCCTGGAATGGCTCAGAACTTTTCTTCAAGATACTACTCTTTGTTGCCCAAGAAATACTTTGAAGACTATTTTTATCAGAGGAAAGAGCTGGAAACAACACCTAGTTTTACATAGATGTACTTGTATGCATCACCCCTGGGAGCACACTACAAAGAAAGGAAGCATTTCGTGTACCGAGGAATATCAAGAATAAGCTTCCGTCAGAAAGGCCTTTCAGATCACAAACGCTGTCTGCATACACGGCTCTTTCCTCAGTCCACATGGGCATCTCTTTCTGTCTTAAATCGCTTCTCCAAATTTCAGCAGGACAAATTCTACATTGGCCCACATGGCTATCACCATGGCTAACCTCGGTTAGACTAGGATTAATGCTGATTATTAGAACAAAAGTAATGACTCTCAGATATAGAGAAGAGGCAACTCTGGGATGAAGCACATGCTCAGCAAGCAGAGCTGCAAAGGGATATATTTTGATTTATGCTTGACATACAAGCAGACCTGGCTTCTCAAGTAATCTGGTTGCTTTTGAAGGAACCTTTACTACACAGATTACTGGCAAAGAACTGCCCCTCAGAACATCAGATGTACAGATGTCATGAACTGGCAGGTGCTAATCTGGTTTTTAAAAATAAAGGAATTAATTTAGAAGAAAATAAATACTCAGACTAAAACCTACCAGTGAGGACTTCAGTATTTGATATCTGTTGACACACCTGGTGGCAAAAGTGCTCAGAAAGGCCACTGAAGACAGTAAAGTAAGTGTCGTAAGCAACTCATATGAAATCCCTCAGAAAAGATATCCCAACTGTGCAGGGCATGCTCTTAGCTGGCAAAATGTGAAATGAGGATTAGGAATGCAGAGAGAACAGCCTGCCCATCACTGCTTACAACAATGGAGATACACTCTCCACAACAGTATTTCAAGAAAAGTGTCTCCAGAAAACACATGGAAAACTTCAATCACATAAAAATTAGAGATTAATTCGAAATTAGCTGAGACAGTAATAACCATAATAAAAGGAAATCTCATATTAAAACTGTTAACTTGCACAGGACTGAAAGGGAATAAGTGTTGCCCTGCTTTTAATAAAAGCTAGACCAATATGGGAAACTATAGTCTGGCAAGCTTTAATTCTGTATCTACTAAATTATTTGAGACAATAATTACAGAGAGTACTAAAAATCATCTAGCTAAATGTGATATGACTGATAAAAAGCCAACAGGGATTTTGAGGGGAAAAAATCATTCAGTCCATCAAAATCCTGTGAGCTTGTTAATACAATAGCCAATAGAAAAGAGGTATTAGAAAAGAAGTATTTACTGGGACTTTCAATAAATATCCTCACAAAGAATGAAAGGAAAACTCAGTAATTATTGGAGATACAAGAATATCACTTGCTCATTTTATCCCATTTCCAACTCAGAAACCCAGCACTACACACAGCATCAATGGAAGACACTGCAATTAGGACAAGGCTGCATCATTTAGTGCTCTTTTCACCACAGCTTCATTTCAACCTGCTCTGAGCATTTTTAAACCAGATAACCCTGCAGAAGCCTTGTCTATCCATTCATTGTTTCTTCCTGGGAAGATGAACTAGCACTGGAAACAGAGAAACATGATCAAATGGGGAAGAGGTCCAGGTAATGCACAGAAGGCAGGAGCTCTCTACCATAAAAGGACTGACCTGTATTACTGTCAAAAACAAACAGCAAAGTGTCCCATTATGCCTGTTCTTACACCAAAGTTTCATTTTTCTGCTAGTGAGCTGGCAAAGGAGAGAACAGTGCAGTGATAAAAATTCCATGATATGTAAGAGATATTATTCATCACTGTGGAAAAATCAGCCCTGCCAATTCCCTACCAAAGACAGGTGAAAAATCAATACACCGAGAGATCTCACCCTCAACATAGATGGCTGCAAGGTTACACATAACTGGGAGGTGCAGTCTGTCATCCCCGTACACACTGCTGGGCTGTCAATTCACTGGAACCATTCAGCACTTGGATCACATTCTTG